CGGTGTAACCGCAGTACCCGTCGCAGTGCTTCCCAGCCTCATTCATCCCCCAGTCCATGTCTTCAGGGCTGACCCTGCCGCCGAAGCTGCCGATGCGGAGCCCAATATCGAGGCCCGTGGAGAGAACAATGTTGATGTGTCTGACTGGCAGCAAGAGCCTGAGATTCAAGCCAGAGACGAGGCCGCGACTGAGGCATGGGACCTAGAGCCACAGACCCAACCGCGAGACGCCCCACATATCCAAGCCAGAGATGAGGCCGCTCTGGACAACGTCAATCTTGAGACTGAGATTGAAGCCCGAGAAGAGCCTCAGATCAAAGCCAGGAATGAGGCTGCACTCGACAACTCTGACTTAGACCCCGAGGTCCAACTCAATGACAAGCCTCAGAGCAAGGCCAGAGAGGAAGCTGCTCTACCTGACAACTTCGACCTGAAACCTGAGATCCACGCCAGAGATGAGCCTCATATCCAAGCAAGAAGCGAAGCTAAGGCTGCATGGACTGACCCAGACTACCACGCTGGAGGTGTTACCGCCGCAGACGACTGGAAGTACAGAGACAACCTAGCCAAGCTCGACGCCAACAACTGCGGCGTAGACTGCCATCGCTCCCTCGACTCATACCGCTCCAAGGTGTCCAGAGAACACAGGCCATACTACGACCGAAGCACGAATTACCACAGCAACAACTACGACCACCATGACTACAATTATGGAGTCCAAAGATCTTCCCGCGCTTCGAGGGGCGAACACAACACACCCGCGGATGACTGGAAGTACAGGGACAACCTCGTCAAGCAGGACAACCACGATTGCGGCTCGGGCTGCAAACATTCGCTAGCCTCGTACCGCTCCGTGGCCTCCAAGGATTCAAGGATTGCTCGGGAGAAGGACTATCATAACTACAACCACCAGGATGACAAGTACAACAACTGGCATCCCAAGGACTATCATGTGAACGGCAACGGTTATAACCATAACAACGGGCATTATGACGATAGGACCATCAGGACCAACACCTACTATCCCAAGGACCATCATTCTACCAACTATAATGATATCCATCATAATGATTACCATGGCAACAGTTACCATACCAATGGCAACGGCTATGACCACCATAACAATGGCCACGATTATGGGGTTCAGAGGTCCTCTAGGGCGTCGAGAGGAGAGCACAACACCAGGCAGGATGAGATAAACCACAAAAACAATCATTACAAGTTGGATCATAACGACTGCGGCGTCAACTGCCACAAGTCTCTTGCCTCGTATCACTCGGTTGCATCTGCAGACTCGAGGCGATCCAGGCAGTCGAGGCAGTCAAGACAATCTCACGGAAACCACGGCCACTAAGAATCGAGGGGATGCTCTCGTTTTAATAGTTGAAGAAGCCGATTATCAACATGATTCGAGCCTGCAGGAATATTTGGAGCCTCCCAAGCACGAGAGATATCGCGATGCGAGATGTGTTTAGCAGGCGAGATAATGACGTGGTTGAGTTAGTGTATATCGAGCTCAGATAATGGCAAGTCAGTTAGCAGTACATTAATGAAAATGAATTTTGACAGACAAGAGCCAACGAATCATCGAGAGACGATAGGAAAGTAATCACAGCGTTGTTCATCAATCATGATAGCTTGATTATGATGTCGACGGGGAACACCAGGAAACCCTTCACTATCAAATTTGGTTCTGCAATATTTACTGCGACGGTATACATATGTTGTCCAAGAAACTTTTTGAATGATGGGAGGTGTTCATTGACCGGGGCAGCAGGTCAGACCGGGTATTCATCGCGGATGTGAAAGCGAACGATGCTTGGCAGGCTGGATAAAGACAGGCTTTCTTTTCAGTATTCCTATCATGACTTCAACTTACCACTCGTGCTTGCGCAGCGGAAAGACATAGAAAATGGGCGCTCTAGGGTTGGGTAAGAAAAGACTGTCCACGAACTCAGGCTTTATGATTACGATAGCATTGAGAACTCGGGAAGTTGTTGTGACTCGTTCATCTTGTTGAGACTGAAGTGGATTATATGTTGTAAACTACTACCTTCGTACATGTACCGGGGTAGAATGTGCTATCCTGATTATCAGCCAATATATTCCTTCTAAGTAACTTTATGATATCAACATGGCTATGCTTTAGTAGCGAAATTTACTTTCTAGATGTAATCCGTTCCAAGACATATCTATGGCTGATTTGCTGCACTCAGCACCAGCACTGACTCACACGTTGGATAATTGATCATTAACTAGGTTTATGGGAGTATTGACAGCAGAAAAGGAGACTTAGAAGGTGGTCTGGGCCGCTGCGAACGGCCCTTTCACCCACCTAATTACTACCAACGGAGGAATCATAGGCTACGCCCACCAACTTCCCCCTTCCATACACATCCGCAATTCAATACCATATTATAGAGTTTTTTACCGGCCGAAGGGCTTTCCCGGCTGATGTGTATAACAAGAAGGTTCCCTCCAGGAGAGTTGCGCTGTATGGCTATCCTGCTCACCGGGGGAGCGACCAGTGCCATCAACAACACCCTCTCTTCACGACATTCAAAAATGAATGATGCAGAGCAAAAGAAAGACTCCTCGACGGGGAATCGCCATTGTCCTTTTTCTCATTCAGGCTTACGTTCTCGTCGGGGAGCATCTCGATTTTGGTTTCCATCTTGCATCTCGATGGGGAGTCGAGTCACAGCACATACCAACAATGCTATAGTTCGCACTATACTAACAACACGGCGGCAAAAAATAAAGGTTCTCATTGACGTTTGTAAATCGTCGTCAGGAATAATTCCCCGATGACAAGCAGATATCCTCACCACTAGACTATCGGGGATGTTGCTGTGGTCAAAGACTCTCTCACAATCATTATGGAGGGCGACGACCCCACCGCACAACTCGCACCTGGCTTTTAGTGAGGTGGAGAATAAAAAGTTTTCATTAGAATAGTTCAGTAGACGTTGGCAATAGAGATCGAGAAGATTCAAGGTGGGATGACATTGCCGTGGTAGCAGCATTGTTCGTGTCTCAACCAGTCAGTAACCGTGGTAGCACTAGATCTCCTGATGACAACAGTTTGGCTTTTCAGAGTTGCTTTCACCTTCAAGCTATGTTGTGCAAATGTCACTAATGGCATTCTGAGTCTTCCATGGGTTGAGTTCCGAGATGAGAGCATAGCGAACCCGGAACCGAAGTCCCCACAGAGGTTCGACAATGTGCCTTCTACTCACAAGCTCAGGGTCGTATATCCAAGGTTGACACCGCGATGCAAACATAAACGACGTGAACATATCAAAATGACATACTTCAAGCACAAGTATAAGGACATGGTTTACATCCAGCTAGGGACTGCGTAGTGTAGCAAGATCAATAAGGCGTAAGTTGTGTCGATGAACGCACCCCACAATCAACCTTCCATGTAGTCGAATAACATGAGCGATAATGAAAGTATCGTGATCCAAGCGCATGAAGTGCCTAGGTACTTGCCAGTAGTTTATAGATGATTTCTCCGGTAAATAAAGGACATCCACACGAATGTGCGACTTTTCGAAATTGTCTTGATCGTGGATGACATACCAAGTATGATTGCGTGATGTTCAATGGGTATTCAAACTGATACAAAGTCTAACAAAACACACTCGTAATTACAATACTCCGGTTCTTGATCACCCGATGACATTGATTCATTCCTTTCTTTCATGAACCATAATGACATCATGTGACTGTGGATAACCAAACGTTGCGCTCCGAGGTGTATTGGGGTCCATGACAGACCCTGCGTGCGATTGCGTTATGTTTGACGATAAAGTACCTGACTTTGAGGACTGTCTGCCCTTGGCGATAGGTGTGAGTTCCTCGTTCTGCACCTCACGCTTCGATTTACTTGACCCCGTAAGTGATTCCCGGGTGTAATTGACAAGTTTGGGGAAGAACCTCCACGCAAGCTGTCGGGCGGCAGGCATGCAGGCAACGAAGATCCCCACGCAGAGCTCTACATAGGACCAAATAATACCCCAAAGGCACTCGGCTATGTATGAAAGTCAGCTTCGACATTTAATCACAGAACAATAGTGTCACGTACCAGTGATATTGAAGCTCGTAGCAAACACCAGAAGACTTTTGATCCGTACAATGCTGACTGAAGTGAGGCTTTTCTGTCGTCAGACTAGAGCATGCGAACAACGTTGAATCAACGAAAAGACTTACAAAACGCCTACACTGAACATCGCCATCACGCCGATTTTCTTCTTGAGCTCCATGTTAAGCTTATATAGTTGCGTGGCCGGTAAAATCAGCATCCACACGTCGAGCGCAATGTTAAACGCTACGTGCGTCAAGCCGATTGTGTTAAGATCTGCGCAGTGGCCATCTTGCTCGCCATCCCACCCGTTCCAATAGTGCTGGAATGGCTGGCACTGAACGAGGCTGAGCAAGATGTAGCCTCCCCCGAGAAGAAAGTTGAAAATCTGCGTGCACCAGAGAAGGGTCCTGAAGCCTTGAATGTTGAAGACTCGTATGTACAAGTATATTACCGATGCCTTTATGACTGCCAGTCCAGAGATGTAAAAGAGTTGGAGAACGAACAGGAGCTGGGGTTGACTTGTCAGATGAATTCTAGGGACTGTGTGGGATTCTTACTTTCAGAAACATTGTAATCTCATACGGCTGCAATGTCCAGATATCTCGTCCTAAGCCATATCGCATCACTATTCGAGGTTGTTAGTCAAATCATGTCAAAGCTGACCGGATGAACTTACTGGTGAAGATGATCGGCGGAAAAGGTATCAAAAACGCCTATATCCGTATCAGACCTGTATTCTTGAACGCGCTTGGAACGTTGGACTGGCACGCATACAAAAGCGATACATATTGCTGTATCTTCTGCGCCCCAGGGCGCAAGACGCATAAACCTGGCCGACAGTCTGATTGCCATGAAAACCACCGGTAGGATGAATAAAAAGATTGTCGTGTATCGCGCCGTACTCGTCCGATCAGTCAGGGGAAACCCGCAGGACGACCACGTCAAGTTTGTAACAGCTGGATCATTGCATCAGCATCAACAATCCAACACATGATCGAGCGTCAACTAGCAAATTCGACATGCTTACCCAATGCTTCCTTTATCGTGCACGCATTTTTTACGCAGTCGCCAACAAGCCTGTTGAAAGTCGGATCGACACAAAGACATGTTTGATTCGAGATAGTGCAAGGTGATTGGGGAAGAGCCGAAAGAGCGCAGGATATCTCGAGAGAGTGTTAGTATGGCCACACCAAGCCCGCGAGAAACTCGTGGAAAAGTCGTAGGATACTGCTTACAGCGCACTGAGGAGCGTCAGCAATGGAGGCGGCTGACGCCAGCCCTGTTAGCCCAGTCAAGAGCAAAGGGAGGAAAGAAGCCTTCATGGTGCAGCTCAAGGGTTTCCTTCTTGGTTCGCACCAGAGAACGCAGTGGTCTTTGATCGGGCACTCTGAAACCTCTATTGTCGGTATCCCACATTGCATGCGTGGCAGCGTGGGATTCTCGGTATTATACGAATCTACATAATCGACGGAAACAATGCTAGTGTCTACCATCTTTTCGATGATGCACACTGAATCCAGACCCAGAAGCCGGTCAACAAAAAACCACATCAGCGGCAAAGACGATCCCTCAAGATCGGCTCAAGTGGGAAAGGGCGGGCAAAGGGCTTGTGGGCGCTTCAGCTTTGGCGATTAGGGGATGGCTGTCAACGCCAATGGGCGCGTTCTTGGCCTGGCGTGCATTGTTGTTGAAAGAAAACAGATCGTTTTCGTGTATGGCTATGGCTGCGTCGAGGACGATAATTGCGCCACAGGCGCAGTGTGGCGGGGAGGCCATGGGGGCAATCTCGTCAGCTCTTGGGGCAACAGAAAACCGCTTTCTGCACATCAGTTCGATGGGCATCAATCCGTTCCCTGTGGCTATCGAGAGAGACAATGCTAACCTATTGAGGCTGGTCTTTGAAAGCACAATTCACTGTGTTTTATTACCGTGCAATGCCGTAAATGCTCCGTAGTCGCGGATAGCGAGACTAGATCGCCGGATTTGGATCTAGATTCGCCGAATCGCACATCGTATCTAATGCGATAAATTCGATCGCACGTGGGGTACATCCATGCCCAAATAGCGGGTTGAAACGAACTCGGAGCTACCCTCCGATATGTGTTTGTTTGTTTCAACAGCCGGCCTGTTGTGCTCGCCGTGTTACCTCAGGCAAGATAAGATTTCTTCTCAGACTCAGCCACGTGTAGCGCGCGTCTGAGGTTTTGGAAGACGTCTTAATTGATTCATTCAACAGATCATCCGCTCAGCGACGGCCTCAAGAATCTGAGTGTGTGCCCACCTTACTTTACGTCAAATCCTCTACACCACCATCCGAAGGTTCAAGCATTAACCGTCAGAGGTTGAGACGAGACAAGCACACTCCCTGGATCTAATCAAGATTATCAATCAATCTGCATATATCCGTGCCCCAGATCAAACGTTCAATAGCTTATCCGTGAAATGAAATCAACAGGGATAAATTTTGAAGGTTCAAGTGTTGATTGGATCTAAGCCATAATACGTGATGAACTATAACTACGATATTGACTAGAAAGGATACACTATCACAGTGGAAGAGAAATCTGATTTGAATGGCAAACCTCGAAAGGGTAGGATTGTATTCATGTCATTATTGGGTATATTGCATTCATTAGATACCCTTTTCAACTATTGGAAACCTCTCAGGCTTTTTTCATACACATTTTGTTTTAGACCTGGGCAGGCTTCTTCTCGGCATGCTCAGACATTCCCTGGATACCCTCAGCAGCCTCCTGCTTCTCGTTGTAGACAACATCTCTCGCCTCGGCATCAGCGTTACCGTGGAGACCAATTCTGTACCAGGGAAGCTCGAAGAGGCGATCCATATCCTCGAGAGCACGGCCAGAAGTCTCAGGAACGAAGAACCAAACCCAGGCACCACCGATGAGGGTGATGGCGGCGAACGACCAGAAGGTACCCATGGGCGAGATTCCACCGACGGAGGTGGATGCCAGCATATTGGGGACGGCACGAGAGTTGCCGTACTGGTTGGCAAAGTGAAGAGTCATGGCCCATGAGGTGGCGAGGGCGCGGACACGGAGGGGGAACAGCTCAGCAGTGAGGAGGTACTGCATGGAGTTCCAGCCGAGAGCCCAACCGAAGCCAGAGACATAGATCATGGCGATGGCACCCTTGCTGACGCCGACCAGGTTGGAGGGGAGCTCAAAGGACTCGTCGACACCAAGCTTGGGCACGTGGGTGAGGAAGGAAGCAATGTAGACCATGGCAATGGCTTGCAGAGTGATACCCGTAAGCAGAGCGCGCTTGCGACCGATGACATCGACCAGGAACAGCGCACAGCCGACAGCAGCGACGAGCTTGACGACACCAAAGACGGCGGTAATGAGAAGGGACTCGTTCTGGCCCTCGATACCGAGGATCTTGAAGAGATCGGGAGCGTAGAGGGTAATGGAGCCGGCGCCGGACCACTGGGAGAGGAACTGGACCATGGTGGTGAGGTAGAGACGGTACAAGTTGCTGGGGACGAGGAAGAGCTCCTTGACCTTTCCGAACCAGGTGGTACCCTTGGTGGCCTCGAGCTCTTCCTGGTGAGAGTGCTGGATGGCGTAGATCTCACGGGTAACGTACTCATGGTCGACGGGGAGGTGACGGAGGTGAGCCATGGTTTCGGTGGCCTCCTCAATCTTACCCTGCTTGACGAGGAAGCGGGGCGACTCGAATTGGAAGAAGGTCAAGATGAAGATGATACCAGCGAACATGATGTGCAGGGAGGTGGGCACGAGCCAGCGGTTGTGGGTGGTGTCGCCGAGGTGAATCTGGCAGCCGTAGTTTGTGAAGTAGGCGAGCACGATACCCAGGTAGACGAAGCCGGTGAAGACGCAGGTGCAGAGACCACGGACGGAGGCCGGGGCAATCTCGGCAAGGTAGACGGGGCCGACGACGGGTGTCTGGCCGACACCGAGACCGGCGATGAATCGACCAGCGTAGACGGCGCCGAGGTGTCCGTTGTTGGCCATGAAGATGGCAATACCGATGATCCAGATGACGCAAAGTTGACGGGTAGCCCAGATACGACCGATCTTATCGCAAATGACGAAGGCACTGTACGTGGTATCAGCGGTTAGAGAGAGTTCTGCGAAGAGACTTTGAAGAGGGAAAGTGTAGCCAAGCTTACAAGAGAGCACCAGCGACGGAACCGAGCTGGACCATGGCAGAAACGTTGGCCTTGATGTTGGTCTTCTCGGCAGCGCTGTATTGATCGTAGTGAATGAACTTTTGGAAATCCTTGGAACCGAAAGCGCCAGAGATGAGACCCTCATCGACACCACGGGCCGCGCCCATGAGGCCGAAGGAGATGACAGCGAACCATAGCCGCCAGTTGAAGACGCCCTCGGGTTCACCGAGGTCGCCCAACTTGAAGATGTTGATGGGCTTTTTGACACCACCGCCTGCCATGTTGATGGTATTTGATTTGCTCGCACGGGATATTCAAGATGGACAAGAAAGGTGTGGGAGGAGGTGCGTGGGCTTTGGGGTATGAACACGACGGTTGAGGAACAAGAAACCTGAGGAAGGGAAAGGAGTGGTTCCTATTAATACTTAGATCTGAGGAGAGGAGGAGGAGGAGGGCACACGTAGATCCATACCTCCCTCGTTCTACATCACACTAGATCCCATCTTCGCGTGGACCAACCCAACCTATCTCCCCCGTCCCCGCCCCAGAGAGTGAGATGACAGCCAGCGGCCAATGCGACCCCATGGGAAAAGAAGGGTAGAGGATGTCGGGATGGATGGTCTCCGGCGACTGGCCAATCGCTCAACTTCCGTTCCACCATCGTGAAAAATTACGAGGGGAAGGAATGAACGGATGGTGTCCTTGTTACGAAACTAAGCAAGGGTGGCTTGAGATGGGGGGTACCAGTATGGGGATGAACATGGAGATGCGTGGGGAGGAGACCTGGCGAGCGGCGGCGGTCGAACAAGGTCGTGAAGTGGGCGGCAGCTTGCCCAAATCCGGCCATGCCAACCGCGCGCCGGGGGCGGGTTTGGGGTAGGTTGGGGAAGACTAGGAAGACTAGGAAGACCAGGAGGGGGGGAGAAGGCGGGAAGAAGGAAGATAGAAAGGCGACGAGGATGTTGCCGGTCAGATCTCCGGCGGCCTTTCCAGCTCGTACTCACAAGAGCCGCTGCTCATCGTCCATCTTGACTGTGACATTCGTCCACCTTCGTAGTTTTTCTCGGGCACACCTGTAACTGTGTCACCGCATGGGACCTATCTAATTATCCACTTTGATAATGCAATGGCAGAGTACACGTTATCCTCTCGGATCTTCGGCATGCTGAAAAAGGAAGGAAAATGTGTTGATGAATTACTCATTGCTGGGACGAGATATCACAATCTGGATCACAGCGAAGAACCGCCGAGTCGAGTTGATGTAAGTGAAAATTGACGGAAAAGCAGGAAAAAAGGGGACCGAGAAAAAAGTGAATCAACGGAAAAGACGCTGATACAAAACTCAAATTTCAAAAGCGTTCACCTGCCCCTCAAAAAGCGAGGATAACCACTGTTTGACATCGGATGACTGGTTGATTTAGCTCAAGGATAACCGTGGCTATAGGCAGCACGGTCTTCATGCCGCCCTCGTTCGCTTTCATATTTCGACATACGTTGGACTAGCGAGGCAGCCTATACTTGCCTCAACCGACGCGTTGGGATCAAGAGGCTCCCGCAAGTTTCCGTAATGCAACACACCTACATGCCATTCCATGCAGTAAGTTTTCGTAAACTGCTCTATCATTAGCCAAACCGTCAGACGGAGCTACGCCGCTCGTTCCATAGTGCACCGACGGCGCGCGCGAACGTTGATGGTGGTGGTCGGGACAAGAAATACGCCTCAAGTCTTGTTTGCGCCGGCAGGCTGCTGTCCCGCGTCGCTGGATTGGAACCAAGACTTTTCACCAAGGGCGATCAGCCAGCGCCAAGTGACGTGATGTCTCCCCCGGCTGGGCGTCTGGGCTCTGCCAAGAAGGAACCTGAAGAGCTGGCCAAGTCGGGCCTGGCGGCAGGGTTTACTGAGGTACCTTACCCAACGGCATCCAAAGTTGCGGTCCGGCTGACTGCTCGCGTGTTCTTGGCTCTTCTCACTGTGAGACAGACTGCAGTGATGCACTGCCTGACTACCTACCTACCTAGGCTACGGATGAGTCTGTGTGTGCGTTGACTGCGTTGTTCTCTGTGTGTGCGCGCTATCGTGCTACCCCTGGCTGATATAGGAGTTGGCTCCGCATTCTCCGCGCTTTGGGGTTTGGAGAAGATGAGATGGTCCAGACGAGCAACCATTTCCCCGCAACACACCACTCACTGCAACCCTCCTCAAGGATTTCTAGAAACATTGGCTGCGATATGACTCGTCGACGGCCGATGCTCGCTAGTCTTGCTGACAAACGGATGAGCTCCAGGAGGAAGAGGGGACCAAGAAGATGGAGAATAAGACTGGAGTATCCGTACGGTGACACGGTCTACGCAGAGGTAGCGAAGCCTACTGCGAAGAGGAGGGGGGGAAGATGGAATCCAAGACAAACCACTCGCAAAAGCCCCATCATCGGCCCATGATCCATGTCCAAAAGGCCGTTTGCGCGCGTGGAACCCAACAAAAACACGCAAGATTTCCCCCATCCCCATATCTCAAAGTGCTTGTTTCGTCGCTGGCTAAAGTGCTAACGCAAGCTGCCTTGCGTAAAGAACTGGATACCCGACAGGTTCGCACTCCGCAAGCTCGCAGCTCGCAGCTCGCCGCCGGCCGGTGGATCCCTAATGGACCGTTTCGGGCTTAAGTCGACGGGGCCATCAACTGCCGCTCGGCCATCTTCCGTGAGGGCGAAGACGGAGTGCGCCCGCGCCTCGAAGCCATTTTGGAATCGAGTCATCGCACCCCGGTCTGCTCCGGTTTATTGATACTTAGACGTGAAAAGATGCAGAGCGCCAGAGCCAGAGCCCGAACGGAGACAGGCTAATTCAGCCATTCAGCAGAAGAGCAGACATTAGCCTGCGACAAGGTCTGGCCCATCGGGGTTCGACCGACGATATTCGCCTCTCTCTTTCCTCTCACAGTGACTCTCGATCTCTTTCTCTTTCATCTCCCTCGGCTCGGTGCCCATTTTTTCGTCTCCTCCCCTCATTTTAGCCAAATAAGATGGATCTCGTAGTGACTCTGACCCCGTAGAATAAGCTTATATGTCCGTACTTGGCCAACCAGAGGAACGATAATCTGCGCCGTGATACTTTGATACGCCTAGTGATTCGTGAGCTTTGGGGAAGATCCGGCGACAGCGCCAGGGTATCTCGGCCAGATTCCAAGTTTCCCAACCTCGTCCTAGGGCACGGTCTTGGTATCAACCCCAAGTCCCTTTGATGGATCATGGGCCTCCCTTCAACTCCAAAGACCCCACGGAGAAAGCTTCCTTCAATGGGGATGGTATGGGGAAAATTGGAGTTGGAATATCTAAGCGCTCAACTTACAGCTCGCGTGAGGCCTTGACGCTTCCACACACACCAAAAGAGTAGCAGGCAATGTAGGACAGAGACGCACACCATGTTCTTAAATGGCACATTCTCAATAACAGGGTGCTTCTTGTCAACCTCGACGCGGACGGAGTCCACCCGTCAGGGTCGTCACATGGCGAAGGAAGCGGAGGACGTCCAACAGGCAACTCCCAGCCACCCAGGATCAAGCATGCAACCTACAGGTTTGCGGGGATTTCACGTCTTGGTAAATTAGACCTCATACGATCGTCCCACGCGGCGGCATGCCAACAAGAACTTTTTTTCTCCCTGAATTACACTAAGTATATTGGTCAAATCCTTTACCTGAGAATTTCCATGTTGGTGAAGAACTGGAGATCCTTCGTTCAAACTCAGACCGGCTTCGGAGGGCAGAATAGAGAGCGAGTCCGACTGATCGACGGTTGCAACGCTACTAGCGGCACTTACCAACGGTCCCAGAAACCTGATTTGTATGCTCTCCCCGCGCAGTTTCTTTGTGACCGCTCCCATGGGCCATCGGCCATGTAACAGTCCATCCTTGGCGCCGAAGTCTCGCCCTTTCTCCGCGTTGTGCCATTCCCCTGGGAAATCCGTACAAGATTACTCACCCACGGCCGACGAGACTCACCACTTTACTCATCTTCTGACCAACGACCTCCACATACCCTTGGTGCATGTCGCATAGTGGCTCTCCCCAAAGGCGACAGCCCACTCAGCAGCAAAAGCGTCGTCAAAAATCCTCAGCAGCATCATCTGCTCCGGGTCCATGTCCACGCCGCAAACCTCGCACGGCGCGTTAACGGTTTCCTGGTCCTCGGCGGACAGCGTGACGATGTTCTTACACGAGCCGAAGAAGCACAAGCACTGCCCGCGGGCCGATGAGCAGACTTCGCGGCGTACCACCGCGACATGGGCGCCCTTGCATCCGTCACGCGGGGTATTCCCGCCTACGGCGCCGGTGCAGTTTGCGGAGGCAATCCACTGGATGCACATGACTGGTAGTGGTTATCTTTCTCTTATTTCCCTCGTTAGGGTTATAGCTGCTACTATGTGAGTGAGATCGGAACGTGACAATCAGTTCGTGTGTCGTATCCGAAATTTTGCTTGATGTACTTATTGCAATTGAATTCTGGGTAGGCAGAGGATGTTTGCTAACACTAGCGAACTAAATACCTTTACCACTCGGTGACTCTCGCTAAACAGACTCTATGTTTGTGTGTCAAACAATAGCATTGTCTGTCATTTGAAGACCCAGCCCTTACCTCGATCGCCATATTATTTGTTCTATGAGCGAGTTTGATTCACAACCAATGTCTTTAGGTTTAAGGTCGCAACACACACACATACCCCTGCACAATCAGATTTCAATGTCTTTTTTCTTTGTTTGGTCACGTTCTGTTAAAACAGTCTTTGAGCATCAACATGTCTTTTGTCTTTGAGCATCTGGTGAAAGTCGACGTTCACAAAAGAACGCCAAGAAACCTTGGCAACCGTGGTTCCAAGCCACTTGGCATCGCCAAGATGGGCTCCAGCTAGAGCCTCAACTCCAATGACCCGCATCTACACTTCTCATTCAAACGGTCTGATATTACGTTCCTCTTCCATCTAGAAAACAATATGCCCCAGTGGGATGCTGCAGCGGACACATCCTCCCGCAACCTAATCGAGACATGACATGAACCATCACCCCCGGCCCGCTGCCGCCATCTCATCAACGAAGGTGCCGCATAGCCGGTCCAAAACGTGTCAATCCGTCAACCAACCCGCAGCACCGGAGTAATCCTCCTCCACCACAAAATTCTCCGCAACCTGTCAACATGCTCGCTTCCCCAGACCAGGCAAAGTGCCATGCCACGTTCCTCCTTCCTTCCCCATGGGCCATGACGGGGGTGAGGTAAATGAATCACCCCCTCCGAGTTGAGGAACATGAACCCCCGGTTCCAGAGAACGCACGCCACTTATACCCCTTTGATCCGTGAACTGCGTGCTCGTTTGAGTGTAGCTACCGCGCCGCCCCCAACGTTTCCCCAACGCGACCCTTTACCCCGTGCCGAGTTGCGTTCCCCCAAATTCCAGAAGAACTTCCCTTGCCCTTACCGTCCTCTCGTCGTCGTACCCCGCAAAGACCACCAGCTTCTCCACCGCCAACTTTGCATACTTCTTACTTAACTCCATCTCCCCCATGTTACGGTACACCCCAGCAACTATGCCATAGAACTCGCCCGCCTGCGCCGTCAACTCTTCTTTCACCAGGATATCTTCAAGCTCGTCGATCAGCTCCGCCACCAAAGACGGCGAGCCTGCGATGACTGGGTCCTCGAGCTCCGAGAAGATCTCCGACAGCCGTCTGCGGTAAGCATCTGAGATGGCCAGCACTTCGGGAGAGGAACTACAGAGCACGCAGGTGCAGTTGAAACCCCACTCTTGAAGAGCCTTTTGCCGGTCTTGGTACAGCATGTTTAGCATCGAGTCTGTACGTTCCTGATATTAGTCCTGTTCAAATGGCTGTGCGGGACGGATTCAGGGTTCTTACAACTGATGCTTAGTTCCTCGCCCGGCAAGATGTCTTTGTACGCCACGATTTCTAGTTCCAATGTCCGGGGCGAGAAGCGGGTTATTGCACTAGCTTTTGGTAAGCACTCTATCTTTACCTATGTTGTCTCGAGAAGGTTGCAGGCGTACTTGGGCTTACAAGCATGATTGATTCTCTGATTGGTGTCAGAAAAGCTGGAACAAGATGCTAGAAGCTGATCACCTACCGCGACCTTTGGAAACAGTCCAAGGTGGGCAACGTTATTGAAACTTGCGCCAAATGTGTTTGTTCGGATGATATCTTCCAGAACATGGCCCCCGGTGCTCCTAGAAAGTTCAAACACTCTTTGCTGATCCTCTCTCGGCAGCCGAATGAAGCCCTCCTCTAACACCCACAGAGCCTGCATCCAGCTAATCGGCTCAGATACTTGCGCCAATTGCACAACGACAGGGTGTTCCCTCAAGATGACATCCCCCGCGCGGATGCGGATGTTTGCGACAGCTCCTAAACCTTTACCCGGTATCGTCTCATCATCGAAGGGGAGTGGGTCGGCAGAATCAGGTGAAGGTTGAGTACTCGCCGATTGGGTGTCAAAATCCTCAACGAGACTGACATGACCGGCTGCAACCTCTGGGCTTGTGATTACGAGAAGAACTTTGTTCCCCCGAAAGTCTTCTTTGATGAAAGCGCAGTGTTGTAGTGTCTTGTTTGACTTTGGGCCCACACATACCGGCTCTTGCGTCCATGGGCGCCATTCCGTGACCTTGGCAGCCTTCCCTGAACTATACTTCAATGGGCATTGTTGTTCAAACTCGATGTTGATAAGTGGACTAGGGGTATCAACAATGCGGTTGAAAGGAGTTGACGAAACAATAGTCGTAACCAACAAAAGGCAACTCCAAGGCCAAACTATAAGCGAAGACAAGCCCATCGTAATCGCAACAAAGAGATAACAGATGGAATTCCTAGGAGAAAAGCTATCCTCGAAACGACATGACCTTATAGAAAAGTTTCCTTCAGCCAAGCAATGGGAGCCTCGCCACCACCATTATAGCCGACCAATCGAGATAGTTGCCGCTGCCACCCTCCTTAGCGAAACAAGCGTGGCATTTAGGCTCAACCCGCGATACTACGACCCCTTGTGACGATCTTTTTCTCGGCGCAGGATCTCGCTAGACTGAGATAGCTCCCGCTTTTCTGCATTTCTGTAAGGACCGGAGCGTCAAACGCCGCGATGCCAAGTTCTGCCAAGATGCTTGGTTTTTGGAGAAAGTCGTCGTGTGGCGCGTTCTTTTAGCTGGGCTGGGCAAGACTTATGAGATGGAGGGGAACCCTGCAGCCATGGCGAAATTTGAAGAGCGTCTTGGAGTCAAGTGAGTCTTATTGGGTTCCTTGATGATGATGCCAAGCCCAGGGAGAGGGGGATGATCTGTGGTTATCGGGGGACAAGTTTCGTCAAAAAGGACAGCTAAGATCATAACGAGGTTATATCTAGCCGGTAGTATTCAAGCTCATTTGTTTTGCTTTGAACGTAACATGCTTCAGCATAAGACGAGCAAAAAGATATGATTGCTAGTTCAATCGCTGACGGGAATTGAGCCCGACGTGGCTGGTTACTGTTAGTGAAATGTTCGACGATATTCAGGATAGGCGTCTGGTGCTTACGGGTCGAACCCACAACCTTGAGATTAAGAGTCTCACGCTCTACCGATTGAGCTAGCCGGGCAATTGATGCGGTTGATGAAGATTTATTGGGTAGATTGAAGCTGATGGATTCTAGGTTGTGCGTGAGGTGAGGGCACGATCCACATTCAACACCAAGGGCATCCATCGTGAACCCTCCGGACGACCCGGGCCTCGGCGGGTCGGGGTGTGGGCCCTCTTTCGGGATGGCGTTTCGACTTGTCCAGCCTGGAGCAGGGTAGGGGACGGCTTTACAATGTTCTAATTTAGGATAATAATCTTGTTTTAGCTCTTGCCCCTGTGTCTTTCGTGCTTACAAGAGGATGAGATCACAGGTAGCTTATAGAATTAGGGAGCTCAAGACAGGTACTCGCTCATATGATGACACAGTTGTGGATGTTGTAATCATTCAATCCACATAACATATAACGTGGCGAATGAACAAACGAGATTAAGGCCTCATCCAAGTGGCATACAATTCCGACACGCAGCGTTTTGGTTTTAGTTGATTCTCTTCCCGATTCCTTGAGCTCTAGACTCTATCTTATCTATGGCAACGTGTAACCACCATCAACAACCAGATTTGCGCCTATTTTTATTAGCTGATATGACAAAATAGTGTCCCTTGGAATTGAGGAGAAATACCTGTCATGTAACTGCTCGCACCACTTGCCAAATACACGTAAGATCCTTTCAATTCAGCAGGCTCGCAGAGACGACCGCCCGGAATCATGGAGAACCACTTCTCCCTCCACTCCTCGGGATGCACCGAAAGCACTATCAAAGTCAGATTTTCATCACTCAATAGACTCATGGTATCGAGATTGAACTTACTATCCGTTGCAATAAAACCGGGCGATACGCAGTTCACTCTCGCAAAGTCGACCCACTCGACAGACAACGACTTGGCCAAGTGCACCACCGCCGCCTTACTAGCATTATACGCCGCCTGCTTCTGCGGGACGTTAACCAAGATGGCGGAAACTGAAGCCGTGAAGATTATGCTCCCTCGACCATCACTACCACCTTTCAACTGCCTCTCAAAGACCTTGGCAGCAGCTTGCGCAGTCCAAAAAGCCCCGTGGAAATTGACGTCCAGCATATCACGGAACTTGTCCTCTGGATATTCGATGGCAGGGATGTGGTCCGCGATTCCGGCATTGGCAACGACAACGTCGAGCTTGCCGCCTCCGACTTCCTTTGTCGCAGTCTCAATGACGGATTCCACTTCCGCCCTGTTGCGGACGTTGCATTTGTACGCCTTTACAAGCACACCGTTGCCTGATGCAGATAGTTTGGCAGCCGTGGCGTCGGCTTCTGTGGGGTCGGTGCTTGTGTATGTGATTGCGACCTTGGCACCGGCCTCAGCAAGTCCGCGGGCAACTTCCAGGCCAATACCTCGGGTTCCGCCGGTAACGATGGCTGTCTTGCCGGTCAGGTCAAAATGCGCGATGACGGGCGCTGTCGGGTTTGGGTGGCTTGGAAGAACCATCTTGGATATTCTGTTGCGTCTCAGGAACTAAGAGGCCGTTGGTGGGTGAGGACAAGGATAAGATTGCAATGTGAAGGCCTGGCTGTTGTTTGCTGGCCAGCTGAGAGCTACGTCCAGGAAATTTGTACCGATGAGAATACAATTACGATGGACTCTGAAACCCTTTACGTCCACCGGCGAATTAGGCCGACGGTCGACAGGCTTCCGGAGCGGGAGGGGCCATTTCGGTGCGGGGAAGATGCTGCACTCCGGGTGCCTGTCACCCCCGTCCGCCCATCTAAAGGCGGATAGTAGGGAATCGACTGGGGTTGGTAAATGACGACTGCCCAACTGTTTGCAAGAAGACGGAGTAGCGGATTCTATCCGTATCGCTTGAAGTAGTAAGGCGCATGAGAAATATTGTAAGATAGTATCCAGGACAGATTGGTGGTATTAGTGAGCAGTGGGATATGAGAATTGTTAACTAGCCACCATATGTGCACGTACATCACCGACGTAGGATTTGGGAGATTGTCCAAAAGTATAAGCAGTGACAGATACATGAATGTTTACTTCTTAAAATCCTGAGTCATACCAATCTACCGAAGGCTGTGGAGCGTTTGACATGAATGTTCAATCCATATTTTCGTTGCTAACTCAATACAAGATCGCATCATTTGGGTACACCTTCTATGACTACTTTGAGAGTGTTCTCTTTGGCCTGCCTCACAACCTCGAACGCCTCAAGAGCCTCCTCGAACTTGTAGCGATGCGTGATCAACTTCCTTGGAAGAACCTTTCCACTGGCAACGAGATTCACAGCCTCGGGGTAACATCCTGTTTGATATCGGATCGACCCCTTGATGGTCAAAGCTCGGATACAAGCTGTCGTGATGGGAAATACGATATTCTAGTTTTATGTTAGTAAAGGGTGTTACAATGTTCGGTGGTCAAGTGTGCAAGAACGAACCTCTTTTCCCATGCCAGCTTGAACAAATGTCCCGCCTTTCTTCGCGGCGAACACACCAGCCTGGATACACTGCTCGGCACCCGTACACTCCAGAACGACATCGGCCCCTTCCCCAAGGCCATAATCTCGCACAATCTTCTCCCCAATAGCGCGAGCAGCGTCAACGGGGTCCTCCGGAGCGTCAGGCAGCTTCTTTGAGACGTACACGTCATCGGCAGCAAACTCCCTCGCAAACTGAGCGCGAGACTCGGACACGTCAACGCCGATGACCTTGGTGGCCCCATACGCCTTGGCAACAGCCTGACACAAAACACCAATCGGCCCGCAGCCAAACACAAGAACCGTTTGGCCACCCTTCAGTTTCGCCACTTTGCAAATCTGGACGGCGACTGCAACTGGCTCTACTAAAGCACCGTCCTCGGAAGACATGTGCTCAGGAATCGGGTAAGTGTAATCACTAGCAACAATATAGTACTTCTGCAGCGTGCCATCCCAGGGAGGCGTTGCCGCGAAGATTGTGTCTGCGCATAGGTTGTATGAACCTGAACGGCAGTAATCGCAGCTATGCAAATTGTTAGAAGCCGTTGCTTGCCTGTGTTGATGGTTGGGGAGAAGCTCACTGCCGACACGGAACACCTGGCTCTATCGCTACACGGTCGCCAACTTTGACATTCTTGACCTTGCTTCCGACCTCGACAATTTTCCCTGAGCTTTCATGCCCCAGAACAATGGGCGACTCTAGGATGAAGTCACCGATCCGGCCTCGCTGCCAGTAGTGGACATCGCTCCCGCAGATGCCCGTCTGCTCGATGTGGACTCGGACGTCGTATTCATCGCGAAGTATTGGGACTTTGCGGTTCTCGAATGAGACGTTCTTGACAGAATGAAGAACGAAAGCAGGGTTCTGGGCAGGATATCAGCGAGATCAAGGGAGCAGAGGCAGTTGATAGGGGCATACAATTTCGCACATTCTGGATTGATCCCTTACAAGGGTTAGATATGTGAGACTGAGATAACCTTCAAGATCTGGAACTCTTCAATGATCTTTTAGTGTTCAGTCTGGCAATCACCTTAATGTGTGTGGAGGTGAAGCATGGACTATGGCCGTGACGTCGAGGACGGGGTGGGACCGCCGTGCGGGGCCGGACAGTGAATCGAATTCGGGCGACAGTAGTCCGATGAGCATTAAGCGCCGGGCTAGAGTCAAAAATTCCAGAAGCATTCTGCCTACTTCAGGGAATTCTTTTCACTGAAAGTCTAGATCAATCTCTGGAGTCTACTAATAGAACACACTCTTCTTTAGGGTCGTTGTGTCCGGGAAGTCGACTTTCCCCTGACTTTGCAATATCTACAAACTGTCGTATTACCTACACAAGTATGGAGTCTACATATCATACCCTTGTTCAGCGTATCATCCTCAAATGGGCTGAGAAGAGGCGCACATCATCCGACACCTCCAATGTACATCCCCGCCTCATTATCGCCCTCGCAGGGCCACCGGGGTCCGGAAAGACAACCATCGCCCAGAAAGTCGTCTCCGCCATCAACGCCTCCCAGGAACCCCACCCAAATTCTATTGTGCTATCTGCGGACGGCTTTCATTTACCTCTCGCAGCTCTCCGGGCGCTTCCTAATGCGGCGGAAGCAATTGCTCGCCGCGGGGCCCCTTGGACCTTTGATGGCCAGGCCGTCATCGACCTCGTCCGGCAGCTGCGGGCTTCAGCAGGACTGCGACCCGTTCTTGCACCAACCTTTGACCACAAAGTAAAGGATCCCGTTTCCGATGGGTTCACTGTAGATGCAGATGTTCAGGTTTGCATTGTTGAGGGGAATTATTTGCTCGTGGATGACGAGCCCTGGAACCAGATCGCAGATTTGGTAGATGAACGGTGGCTCGTGAGAGTTGAGCCTACACTGGCACGGAGACGAGTTGCCGCGCGGCATCTCACAGCTGGTATTGAAGAAACAATGGAAAGAGCTCTCTTCCGGGCAGAGAGTAATGACATGGTCAATGGAGAATTCGTTGACAGGCACAGTGAGGGTAGATACGACGTATTGATCGATAGTGTAGAAGAGTTACCTAATTGAGGAGCATCTAAGATCGACTTTTCGCGGATGACAATCCGGACTAGCCTACTAGAGCTGAGGGTGACAGAGATCCGGCTTTGGCTTCTACCCGGGCCCGGGGGACCTTGACGAAAGCGACATTAACTTTTCTGAGCCTGCAGAGTAACTACCTCTTGGGAAACAAAACGGACTGGACGAAAAGGTTGTGATTGGAAACCAGGTATTTGAATGTCTCTCATGAACAGCTTGAGCTGAAGAATTCCTGTCGCCAAAGGTATCAGAATTTCTATTCATCCTATCTTCCGACTAACCTCCTACTCTGTCCCATCTGTCGGCTCGTTAGTCAAGCAACATGGCAACAAATGGTTCCACGAATGGGGCGAGAAAGTCCATCAGAGCCTCCAATCCGCCCATCGAGGATAGTGTCTTCAAACAGTTCCGCCTTGATGGAAGAACGGTCATAATCACTGGTGGAGCAGGCGGAATAGGATCAGAGATCGCCAGGGGCCTCGCTGAAGCCGGTGCCAACGTATTCTGAATCTCATCCCCAGTTCAGTACCTATGTGGCTGACACAGATACCATCTACAGATCGCCATATGGTACAACAGCTCTAAAGCCGCCGTTACCATTGCCGCAACCATTGCGGAAGATTTTGGAGTCAAGACAAAGGCTTATCAAGTCAATGTCACTAACTACCCTGCCGTCGAGGTGGCGGTGGCAGAAGCGGTCAAAGACTTCGGTCGTCTGGATGTCATGATCGCCAACGCCGGAATCCCGTCCAAGGCCGGGGGCCTCGATGACAAGGTCGAGGACTGGGATCGTGTACGTGCAGTCGACTTTGACGGCGCGTACTACTGCATGAGGGCGGCTGGTCTCGTGTTCCGTGAGCAGAAGAGGGGCGTAGGCATCATCACTGCGTCCATGAGTGGTCACGCTGCAAACGTACCGCAAGAACAGAGCTGCTACAATGCCTGCAAGGCAGGAACCGTACGATTATACCATCTTCTTTGAAACACCTGATAAAGGAATTTTGGCTGATACTAAGGACTTGTAGATACACCTAGCGCGGTCTTTGGCTGTCGAGTGGGCCAAGTGGGGAGGACGCATCAATTCGGTGTCTCCTGGTTACATCGATACCGTCATCTCGGGTGATTGTCCGTTCGAGATGAAGGAGGAGTGGTTCAGCTTAACACCACTGCGCAGAGATGCTGATCCGAGGGAGTTGAAAGGCGTTTACCTGTACCTAGCGAGTGATGCTAGTTCCTACACAACTGGGGCTGACTTCATCGTGGATGGTGGGTACACGGCACGGTGATCTGGAATAGCTTGACACATCAAAGTCTGTTCAATTCAAACTTCAACCGTGGCATCTATGAGAGGTTCCTGTCATTCACATCTTGAACTCTGAACGTATAAAGTCATGCAATGAGAAAATAATTCTGCTTGAATTACTTTTGAACTTTGTGATAAAATAGTATCCGCAACCTCACACCACAGTCAGTCTTAAAAATATAAACAGAGACTTATTGATCAAATACTAGATGATGGTAATGTATATTTACAGACCTTACAGGGAGTAATACCAACTCATATCTCAATCTGACTTTACTTCCCTCATATTCGCTTATCAGTAATTCTGAAATAAAGTGAATTAGGGAAAAACCTACAAGTAGAGACGGATGTCCTGACACCATCTCTTACATGGTTCGTTTTCGGCGTCATAGGTTTGTGCTAAGTCAATAGCACAAGTGACTTTTTCACAGAGAAAAGATTGTCTTTTTGATCTTGGACTTGGTGACATTTTCTCCATCTAGCTTTATCAGCCATAGTGTTCTCACACTCTTGACTTCGACATTAAATACTTTTCGGCGGCGCTTGGTTGACGCAATATTTCAATTTCACAGCTAAACTAGATATCACCTCGAGAGCATGGCGGCGTCGATACATCTGAGACTATCAGGCCGAAACCCGACCAACCGATCCTCGATATTTCCCGAAACCTGCTATTCTTGAAGCTGCAAACATCTTGCAACCCGGTTCAACCTCGTCGTCGCGCCATGATCGAAAGATCCCGGCTGGCGGCCCCCATCCACCCTCGCCTAAATCCCCGACCTACGACGGCTGCGCGTTATTACCGGGCAAAGCTACCCGAACTTGGACTTGGCAACAGTGCCACAACTCACCAATAGCGACTGTCACTCCTCGTCGACTAACTCCTTGACATCCCGCTAGTGAAGGGTGACAGTCGTCCGTCGTCCCCGCACTTTACCAACCGCACATCGGACTTCCTCACAATACCACGCAAGAGCATGACTCGCGTGACAGGACGTATGCAGATGCAGCACAGCTTGAGTGATGCTACCCCATGGGCGAATCCCCCCGTATTTTCAACGACCCATTTACCACGTTATGTGGGGTAAACGAGCATGCGGAGGATTGCCGGACGCGGTATTCCCAGGTTCCGGCTGCTTGGGAACTATCTTGTTTGCGTACGAAATGCTCCGCGACAAGTTGATCACCAGCCCCCATGGGCTTCCTTCGTCCAAGTGCATGTATAAAGCTCTTGCGGGTCCCGTTCGCGAACTATCATCAACTTATTGTAACCCTGCCTTATCTTGCCCATACATCGTCCGTCACATCTCCGTGTTAGTCAATGTTGCAAAAGCAACCTCGGAAATAAGCCACCATGAAGGACGAGCAGATTGTCGGCGCCGCCTTGGCTGGAGTTCTTCCCAAGACAGACAGATACTGGTTCCAACAGCCGCATTTGCTCAGGTTGAATCTGCTACTTCTGATCCCTCTACTGTCCTCTTCAGTTGCAGGTTACGATGGTGAGCGCAGAGATAATTCCCAATCCCTCCTCTCTGTGTAATCAACAGCCACTAATACCACATCTTTACGTTGCATGTAGGCTCCTTGATGAACGGCCTTCAATCCCTTCAACAGTGGCGAGAATACTTTGGACATCCGGCCGGCGTAAGGCTGGGAGTTGTGAACGCAGCGCAATCTATTGGTTCTGTTCTAGCCCTGCCTATTGTGGGATATCTGGCGGATCGCTTCGGCAGGAAGCCCGTTCTCCTGTCTGGCATCATTCTCATCATCATCGCCACGATAATCCAGTCCACCTCGATCAACCTACCGATGTTCATCATCTCGCGGCTAGTTGTCGGCTTCGGTGGCATGTTTGTCGTTCATCCGAGTCCCATGCTCATTGCTGAATTAGCTTGTAAGCACCCGGAACAAGATGAGATGAAAGACTTTTCACTGACGGACGACGAAAAGACCCGACACACCGTGGAAAATACACATCAGCTTATTGGACTATGTATTATCTTGGTACGTGAAGCCCCCAGTTTTAGATGACTTCCGGAAACTGATCCAAAACTGGACAGGTGCGATCTTGGCTTCCTGGACAACTTTCGGTTGCCAAGATTACCAAAGCGAGTGGGCATGGCGGGTTCCCTCCATTCTTCAAGCCGGCTTCCCACTGGTGCAGCTATGCTTCTATGCCTGGGTTCCAGAGTCACCCAGATGGCTGGTAGCACGAGAAAGAACTACAGAAGCAGCTGCAATTCTCGCAAAGTATCATTCAGGGATCCATGCCCCATCTGAAGGCCATACTCCTCTTGTCCGCCGTGAAGTGGCTGAAATCGTCCAGACAATCCAGAAAGAAAAGTCTGCAGAGACGACGGGCTGGGTGGCGTTGATATCCACGCCTGGCAATCGCAAGAGGACGCTAATTGCAGTTTGTGTGGGAGCGTTTGCCCAGTAAGTGCTTTCCTGTGGGTTATTTGGAAGACTGAGTATTTTGCTGATGTGTTGATCTCCAGGTGGAATGGGATTGGCGTAGTCTCGTACTATCTCACACTTGTTCTCAACACCGTCGGTATCACGGACACCTTTACACAAACCTTGATCAACGGTCTTCTTCAGATCTTCAATTTCGCTGCCGCTTTAAGCGCTGCCTTCCTCGTCGACCGGCTTGGCCGTCGAACTCTATTCCTTTGGTCAGGGGCAGGCATGCTGGTGAGCTACATTGTCTGGACAGCGTGCTCAGCTGTCAACACAGATACCGGGTCCAAATCCGCTGGAATTGTTGTCGTCGTCTGCCTCTTCACCTTTTACTTCCATTACGACATCGCTTACACCCCACTTCTGATGGGATATCCGACCGAGATTTTTCCCTACTCTCTGCGTTCCAAAGGCATCGCGGTTGAGCTATTCGCAATCTACGGGTCACTGATCATCGCGGCATTCATAAATCCCATCGGTCTAGAGAACATTGGGTGGCGTTATTACATTGTCTTCTGTTGCTTTTTGGTAGTATTCTTTGTCGTTACGTGGGTATTGTTCCCGGAGACCAAGGGGTACAGCCTGGAAGAGATTGCGGTGATTTTCGACGGGCCCCAGGCTGTGGAAAACTTTGAAGATGCTTCAGAGTCGAAGGAAGAGAAAATACTTGCCAAAGGCGGAATTCACGATATCGTACATAAGGAGGAGGCATAGTCTAATTTCATCTTTCATGTATATGCGTCTTTGGGGCGCGGATAGCTCTAGGGAATGATCTAGCGAGAGATACCGCAACATTATGAGGTAAATTTAATTTCAAGAGTGAATAGTTCGATACTCATTGGATTAAGGCAAAGGAACATCTGCCAATTTGATTGGAGGTGCCATCCATGAGATAGATCTCAAAACTATTTTACAATCACACCAGCGAGCTGTTATCAACTTTGCTTGTTTGCTCCGGCCTCGGGGAGGGATTTGGTCCCCTCCACAATTGAGGTCTACTTTAGTCTCTTGTGTCGACTGAGTGCAGACGAGACACATAAACCACACATTCCATGAATCAGTCCAAACGGCAGTTCTCTCAGCCATTCTCAAGAGCCGACTAACACCGGACGGAGCTCGGCCGTGCAAGGATTGCATCCCCCTGATCGCGATCAGATGGTGTTGTGGATCACCACAGCGCAAGCGTGCGGAGAAAAAAGGGCGGGGTTTCACTGGGAGTTCGTTGCGGTTGGAGGCCAACCTCACCTCACCCCATGTGTGCCAGACCAACACTTTATCGATTGTTCGCCTGTTCCTGCATGTCATGTCATGACGTCTTCAGATACGGACTACACTCGCCCTTAGTCTTCTCAGCCGGCCCCTGTTGCATCGTCAAGGACGGTTACCGCTCCCCGGCTCGAATCGCGATCTGAATGCAGAGACTAAGCACTCCAGAAAGCCCGTGGAGAGAGTCGTGACCAGCTTCAAGCCTGCCTAGAGGAAGATGTCGTCCTCAGGTGCGACGGGTGACAATGAGCCGGCACCTCCTCAGCCGAGCAACCTTGACTCCCTCAGCATGGCCTTCCCGTCGGCTGATCAAGCATGCAAGGAGTGCCGGAGGCGGAAAGCCAAGTGCAACCGGGCGATTCCGACATGCAACTTGTGCGTAAAGTACCGCCGGCACTGCCTGTACGAGAAACACGCCCGCACCCCGTTGACAAGGAAGTATGTAGAACTAATTCGCTATCCCTAGTGCATAAACGTCGAGCGCAAATGGGCCTCTTACGCTGACATAACGCCCTTCTGCAGACACCTCACGGAAGTAGAAGAGAGGTTGGAGCGGGCCGAGGCAATCATAACACAGATGAGAGCGCTGATGCCGGCTCAGCTAAGATCGGGATCCGTGCTACCCAGTCCAAGGAACCTAGAAACACCGGCGCCGAGGAATGATGAAGAGGACTTTGACTTTTCAAAGCTTGACACCCCGGCGCCGTTGGAGGCGGCCCCCCTTCCGGCTCCTCTCCCGGCCCTCTCGGCCCAAGGGCCCGACGCGCTCCCGCAATGCGAAGCTGTCCATCTTGAGCCGTCACAGCCATTCCAACCATCATCACTACCCCAGAATCATGTCCCGTCCTCAGTCCTACCAACCTCCAACATGAGATCCGAACCCCTGCGCGCTTCGAGAATTGCTCAATATAAACCTCACAATGACACATCGCACAGAGACCTCAACCTCCTCGAGGCTCATCCCACAGACGACTTCGAATGGGACGAGCAAGAAACCTTAACAAACTACTCGGCGTCTCCCGAGGCCATCTTAGAAGCCGACTTGAACGGCGAAGTAATCGCAGATCCCATCGCAGACGGCATGGCCTCGCTCGCCGTCAGCGAAAGGGAATCAGGCTACCTCGGCGTCGCCTCCGGCGCAGCCCTCCTCCGTCTCCTGGAACCATCAACACCGAGACGAAGAACCCAATCCTCCTCCTCACGACCAAGTATAGGCGCAGGGCCCCAGCAGCAGCAACATATCACCAACCACTTACA